AAAAAAAAAAAAAAAAAAAAAAAAAAAGAGTTAATCTTAGATCTCAGTGGGTAGCTTTGAAAAATATGTATATTTTTATTTTTCTGATGTAATTGGAATTGGGAGAAAACATGCACCCTAGATGTACACAATAGTGACCCAATACTGTAAGGCAGGAGATGTAGAGGTTGTGGGATTCAGGCAGAGGCTGGCACGTGGGGAAAGTTTCATTGGGTGTTGATTACAGATTCAGCCACACTAAGGCTCAGAAACGAAGCTACCTGCATTTGCATCCCGGTTCTGTGACTTGCTATCTCAGTGACATTGAACAGATTGTACAACCCCTCCTGCCTCGATTTCTTTATCTATGAAGTAAAAACAGTATTATGATATAGGGTAGTTTGTGATAGGTGCTGCCTGCCTGAGAGCTTTCCTGAGAAATAATGAATAAAAGTGAAAATAAAAGTGAAGTTTTATGCAAAACACACCTACTCACACAATAAGTGGCAAGTGCTGACATTCTAATACACACACAAATATATTAAGGAATCATCAAATGAATGAAATCTGAACTTTGTTAATTTTTTTCCTGATAAGTTCTGCTATCATTCTCAACAGCTCAAATATTTAAGGCCAAAATGTTGACTCCAGGGATAAGTAGTTAAAATATGGAGACTATGAAAGCATTCAAGTTTAATTAAGAAATTTCCTTAATTTTAGACTTCTTAATTATTGAGCAAAGCAACCTTGGCTATGATTTAAAAGCATAGTACTGCCAATAACCTTCCTGAATCACAACAATGGTGCAAAGGTAGATTCATCTCCGGAACCTCGGCTTGAACCTGCCTCTTTACCAGGTTTACTGTGTGTGGACGAATACTTGCATTGTCAAGACATCTAACTTATTTGGCTATCAAACATTTAATTACAGTATAATACCTACTTGTGGGAATTAGTTGAATAGAAGTAGAGAATACCTAATGAGAAGTAAAGAAATAAAATTAATGTGAGTAAACAAAGCCTACTTTTAAACAAAATTGTCTAATTCAGAAGGGGATTATGAATGGGGATTATAATGTCTTGGCCATTTTCTCTCAACTGTTCTACTTGATTCCATTCCTTTCTTGGGAAAGAGATGAATTTTACTCCTCCTCTGACACACAGTCTGTAGCTCAGATGTACATTTCAGATTCAACTTTGGGTCCCTCTTAGTTACTGCACCTGCACACAACAGTTTTTAACACATGCAAAGTTTAAAAATTCTAGCTATGAGCAATTTCTTTGAAATTCGTATAGGTTATATTATAATTATGCTCTTGTAGTAAATAATAATTTATTTTTATGCATAGATTTAAGAAAACAAAATGGATCTATAGTTTATGTTTCTTATGGTCATTTATTCCTTCTTGAACTTCAACATACTGGTGTTGAAATTAGACTCAAATTTTAGCTCATCAACATTTTTGGATAAAACAGAAGCATTTGATGTTTAGTTCATTATTTATGTAGATTTAAGAATTCAGTGGGGCACACAGCTGCCGAAGGAGAATCCTTGAAATGGCTATCTCAGCAAATCTGCTGACAGATAAGCACCTACATATTAAGTCTTCCTAAGTAGCAATCTGTTTCTATGGCACCTAGGTAGAAAAGACAGAATTTTCCATCAGTTCCTGAAAGCAGAAAAATACTAAGTAGTTAAGATTCTCAAGTTTGGGTAAAAAAAGGTGTTAATTTCCAGTAATTTTTTTTTTTTTTTTTTTTTTTGGTACCGGGGATCGAACTCTGGTTCTTGAGCTTGCAAGGCAGGCAGTGGAACTGCTAAGCTAAATCCCTGGCCCCTCCAGTAATAATTAAAAGTTAATTTTAGGACATTCTTGGGCTGTAATTTAATTTCTTATTAAAAATCAATGGAAAAGTTTGATATTTGTTTGATTTACAAGGCCAGCGACTCAATTTTCTAAAACCTAAAATCTTTGCTTCAGTTAGGAGTGAAAATAATATAGTACAAAAGAAAATTTCTCGTTAAAGAGAAACGCCAGGATATGAACTTAATGTGAGCATAAGTGAGAGGAAAGGAAGAAAATGTATTCATTATTTATTTTTTGGTTTTAGAGTATTTTTGGGAAAACCTCTAAGTAGTTGGCACTGTGCCATATGCACTGGGGACAGTCACGTTTGATGGTCCCTGTCTTAAAGAAGCTTTCAAGACAGCAAGACAGGGTGCTTGTCCATCATTAGATAGACTACAGAGTAGAAAATGTGTCATTACTGAGCTGATACGGGTGCAGCAGGACATCATGGGAGAGAAGGCAACAGACAAGGAAAATGAAGCTAAACAGAGACACGTTTGAGACTCTTCAGAAAAAGCAAAAACAATTTTAATAAAGAAAGTGCTTGCTCTTCTGAATCAAATACATTTAATACTTTGTATAATACATTGAAGATGTGTCTTGTTCTTCAAAATGTCTTTTCTCAAAAACATTATGAGGCTCGATCATGATTACAAGATACACAAAATTAAGTATATTAGCACACCACAAACACCCAGTACTTGCTATAGTGTGTGGTTTATAAAATTTCACAAATCACACAGATTATACAAAGTAACAGAGCTATAGGAAGCTTTTAGGCATTTATAATTGCTAGCTAAAGTGAACATTTTTTTAAAGCATTGTCTCTTGGTATTCTTAGCTTTGAAAGATGGTCAGTGAAAGTTAAAAATAATTTACTATATAGGCACTGCTGTATAGAAAATACATTTCCTATTTCTATATACCATAAGCTAGAAATGTCTTCTGAATTACATGATGGTGTCAGAAAGCTTGATAAACACTGAACAGTCTGTAAAGGAAGGGAACCTCTTGACTATCAGTTCAAATAAATATAGTTTATTTACAGTAATACTAATTTACTTATTAAACTAATTACTCTGAAATGCTTTGGTTGTCAGGTACCAAAATAGTTTAGAAATCAGGGAATTGATTTCCCACTTCATTCTTGTATGTGGTCTAATTCCCTGTGTTATTCATAGCTGAAAAGCATTTTTATACATTTTCACCTTCAATGATACTCAATTAGGAGAAACAATTAAGTCATCTCTTAACATTAGAAATAAAAAGACAAATCACTCCTGAATAACTTTAGACTCTCCTTTGGTTCCATATTCTTACTGTAAACTTTGCATGCTGCCACCTCTGTAGCAGATAAAGTGATGCCTCTCGTTAATTAGGGTGACCCAGTGTAATCACACTCTAATATAATCAAGGTGGCCCAATATAATGCGAGTTTCAGGGGGCTTCTGAAGTCAGTTTCTCATAATATTTCAAAAAAAAATCTTTCCAATAAATAGAGTCTCAAAGTCTTCATATTATATGCATAATTTTGTAAAAAGCACTTTCAGGAAATCTAGCTAAAACTATTGCAGGGAGATTCTAAAGCCCCCACATTTTGTTCCAAATGTAATCATGACAACCATGACAAAAGCAGTGAAACAAGACAAGAAACTCTTGGTCTGTCTCAAATGATTTCACCCCCATTCCTCGGGAGAACAGGTAAATGCAAGTATGCAGCAGGCTGTGCTTGCATTTAAACAGATGTCAGCGAGACCATGCCCTCCAGACACGTTCAGACTTTTTCGTTATCATCACTGCTGATTTTTTTAAATGCAATTGGGCTTGCTTGCTTCAAAGAAGTCTTTGACACATCTGTGTGCATGGTAGACATGGCTATTGTCTCATAGTCATCATCCCGAGACCGGAAATCACAAAAGTTAAAGAAGAACTGCAAGTCCCTCTGAAAGTTTTTGTTCAGGAACCCATAAAATATGGGGTTGACACAGGTGGATATCATTGCTGTGAGGTGGCACAGCAGGAATAACAGATTGTGGTTGCATGTGGCAATGATCTGGTGATTCCAGTCAAACACAGTGTTGAAGATGGTAAGAGGAAGCCAGCAGACGGCAAATGCCACCACAATGGACAGCAGCATAATGTTGATTCTTTTGTTTTCACTGGACCTGTACTTATTGTCTCTCATCTTGTCCATCATGTTGTTTCTCCTTTTTAAGCGAATGTATATCTATAAAGGAAAAAAAAAAAGAATTCAAATAGCACTACTTGCTTAATGACGAGTTCTGCAGAAAGAAGGTAAAAAGGGCAAAAGTAGGGAGACAAGGTTTTCTTACCTTAAAGTAGCATATAAATATAAAGCAGAGTGGACCAAAGTACTGCAGCACCAAGAGAAGAGTAGTGTAAGACAGCCTGTGAGAATCCGACGGAAATTTATCGAAGCATACCAACTTGTCTTTAAAGGCCTCCAGGGTTACATTTTGGAATGGCTCATCAGTCAGCACTTGATAGATCAGGAAGGGCAGAGAAGAAGCCACCGCAAGAACCCAGATGACAGCGATACCTATGTAAGCATGTCCGTTGTTTGGTCTCCACCCTCGTGGGTTGATGATCAGCTGATGTCGCTCCACAGCAATAAGAACCAGAGAGAAAATGGACACAGTGATTGAAACACACTGCACAAAGGGGTTCAGTTTGCACATCAGCTCGCCAAAGACCCAGTGATCCATTAGCGTGTAGACAAATGTGAAGGGAAGACACATGATGGCAACAAGCAAGTCTGAGAAGGAAAGGTTCACGATCAGGATATTGGTGACGTTTCTCATCTCCTTTTGTTTCAAGATGATTAAGATCAAAGCCAGATTTCCAGAGATCCCAAGAATGATCACAGCTCCATAAGCAAGAGCCAAGGTAAATATCACAGCCAAGGGCAGATGACAATCATCATTTTCAAATGCCAGAAATGGGGAATTCTTCTCTGACAAATTATAGTGAGCTGAATGATTTTCAATCTGGGAAAATAATGTTGAATTCATTTTGATTGTTTTTGTTGTTACAGATTGAACAAATGCACAGTATGTTTCTTCAAATCATTTTAACTGTTCAGTTTATTCTTCTTTCCCTTATTGGACTCCATCTACCGTTATTACTTGGAATTCTTCATTCCCATGAAGGGAACAACCTATAATGAGAAAATGAACAATTCTGTTACTAATGGCAGTCAAAATGAATTTTGTTTTGTGGAACTCTTTAAAGTGAAGACACTGCAACTTGTCTTTATATATACGTATGTATATATACGTATGTATATATATATATATATATACATACATATGTATATTGTAAATGTCTTTTTTAAGTGGAAGAATCATGCAAACATTTTGAATTTTAAACTTCTTGAAGTATTTTTTAATTAGATTGGATTACACATCAAATTTCAGTGATCTAAGTAAGGTGTACATAAATCTCAGGTCTCCTAAAGTTTTACAGAAATAGTACATCAGAACTTTCCTAGACACTATAAAAATGTGAATGTGTAACAACTTAAAGAACAGACGAAAACATAAAAAATACAAAACAAAGAAAGAAAAATAACAGCACATACATAATTATTCATTATACTACATAAATGATGAAATCAGTGCAGAAGCCAAGTTGTGAGAATAGCTCACCACATAATGGTGCTTTTCAAGATAGACGTTATTTAGCACAAGTATATTCAATGGGACATGATCAACTCAGAAAAATATCAAAAAAACTTTGCCAAAAGAGGGAGTGTAGGAAGACTAAGTGATGTTTTATCCAAGAAATACTTAGAATGGTAGAGATACCACTACCATATTTTAATATGTGGTCTCTAGAATATAGGATCCAGGCTTAGAATATTGTGTCTAGCTATACAAGTTAGAAGCAGGACTGAGAGATACACTTTAAAATCACATCATTATGAAGAACAGAAGTTTAATCTAATGGAATTAATTGCCTACAAAAGTAGCAAGAGATCCATCACAGGGAAGACCACTTTGAAGAAGTCTTGCATTGTGTAGGAGTGCTAAGACTCCAGGATTTTTTATTAATTAGTCCAATGCCTTCAAAAGATTTCTAAGGGTTTACCTATGAGAATATCCTCCCTTCCCATAAGATTATATGTGCATCTATGCATTTTAGTTGTAATTTTGATCACCTACAACATTTGTGGAACAAATATTCTTGTCTTACTAGCAAGACAAATCTCAGACAATAGCCATGTAGAGATTAAAAGTTCCTGTTAAAAAAATCTCTTATTTTTTTCAAGATTACTAATTAAATATACGAGATGGGATTTATTGTGTTAACTAGGAGACTATTGTGGCTGTGTTAAGAAACTCAATTGCATTTCTTTTTTTTTTTCTTGCTTATGTGAGAATAAGAAGATTGTGTACCTTTCTTCCACTGAAATGAAAATAAGAAATTTAGTGAAAACAAAAATGCATTTGCCTTTTAAGTGATTCCTTTCATAAACCTTTCTTTTAGTGGTCCTGCTTTCTAGAATATGGGATGTTTTCTATCATCAACCTGCATTTTAGCCTCATAAAACTAAAACACAGAAAAATAGAAGTGATTTTTCAGCAAGTCAAAATAAAGTATTAAGGAATGTTAATGGGACAGTTTCGAGGGGAAGCATCATTTAAAATATGGCTTTTTCTCCCTCTCTGGAACACTCTGGAATGAGCGCCTAATACTAATGGTGTAATCACGTCTTCTAAAGAATTCGGAAGGCAGAGGGAGAATGATTAGTTAATGCTGGTTTGGATGTGAGAACAAACTTTGAAGCAGTGTGTAGTAATTTTTATTTTAGTTATAGTCCTGGGGATTGGGCCAGGGCCTTCATGCTGAACAATATTCTTCAATCTTTTTTTATTTTTCATTTTGAGACATGGTCTCACTAAAATGCTCAGGCAGGACTCAAACTAGGGAGCCCCCTGCCTCAACTTCCCAGATTGCTGGGATTACAGGCATGTGGCACCGTGCCTGGCACTGCAACAGGTAGTAATTTTAAGGCTTTTTTGAAATCCCTCACTTTCTTAGCAATTCAAGAAAATTACCCTCATGCTTCATAATCAAGTTACTCTAAAGATGTTTGACATTACTTTTTAGCTATGTTTTTCTTCATTTGTGCTAACAGTAGCAGAGTAGCGATGTACATTTCCATTATGCTATGGCTCCCATATCTTGTTGACCGTCAACAAGTTCCACCAGGTGCCTGAGAACCTTGGTATGAGACACGTGTAGTATGGATTATTGTCCTTCCTTAGCCTGATACTTAACCATCTTTACATTATGCCTTCTTTCCACTCTACACTCTCACAAGTGCAAAAGGAATGTTCCATCCTAGACAGGCCCCTCTCTGCAGTCTACCAAGGATAACTGCATTTCCACCCGCTGTCATTCTCCCTACTTGGGGTTCTCTCTATCCACATCCTACCCATCCCTCAAAGTACTATTTATTTCCTTGATTTCTTAATTGGATCCCCGGTATTTTAATATATATATATAATGTCTTTAAGGTAGGCATTGTTCATACTTCATAGTGCCTTGAAAATATTAGACCTGAAATAAAACTATATCTCTGATAGATTAGATGAGTGGTTATAGTAAGATCTTGTCTAAATCTGAACATCCATAGCTGAATTCTGTTATAATCTTTTTAAATGCAAAATGAATGTTTATTATAATACTCATTAGGTGAGGTCAGGTAAATAGGGGAAAATTAGTACTTTGTATTTAAAAAGCGACTTCCTTCTAAAGGAACATTCATTTCTCCAATACATATTTATTTAACACTTATTTTGTGACAGTCTTTGCCTTAGTAGAGAAAACAGTAATCTTTGTATTATGCTTCTAGTATGGTGGAGAGAAGAAAAGATAAAGTGAAAGATATAGTATGCTAGGTGATAAAAAGTGCTATGAGAACAATAAAGCAAGGAAGGAAGACTGGCATTGTTAGGAATCAGTTTAGTACTGGAGTAAGAGGCCTCCGATGGTCTGAGAAGATGACACATCAGTTAAAACTTGATAGTAGTGAGTAAAGAAGTCCCACAGGTATTTCATGGATTGCATTCCACGTGGAAAGAACAAATGTAAAATCCCAAAGGCTAGATTCTATCTGGTATGCTAAGCAGAAAGGAAAGGAGGAATGAGAGCAGGAGAAATTATCAGGGCATTAATTGGGAAGGCTGAAAGGACAGCACAGATGTGCAGAACTTTATTTTAAAGGGATTCACTGCCTCTTACCTCCAAAAGATGCTACTAGAGAGTCTCTGACAAAGACATAAAGTTTTATGACTTTTGCTTTCATATTGGTATTCTAGCTGCTGCCTCCAATACATTTAAGAAAGAAAAGAGAATAAGCAAAGAGATTCATTAGTAGGCTACTTCAAAAATCCAGGTAGAAGGTAATGTGGGCACACACCAAGATATTTACAGTGGAAAGGAAGGAAAAAAGTTTTATATCCACTGATTTACTTTCACAATCATGGAAATTCATGAAAACACCTATTAAATTATTTCAGTGCATGGGCTAAGAAGACAGAATTCTTACAGATAAATTTAGGTAAACATACTGAGACTCTACTCTGATACCTTTGACATTATATTTGATGGACATGCCCTTTGAGGCATAATGGTTTTCCTACTAAGTAGAAGCCAACTTAGTTATGCAAAAAATGCAGCCTTTAGTTTTTAAACAGTGTTTGTGAGCTTCGTTTGCTAAGTGCAGTGTTGGTAGTCATTCCATTTAAGTAAAATAGTTTAGCATTGGATACATATCAGTTCACCTTAGTATAACTTCAATAAAGAATAATTGTCAGAAATAGCAGAAGTAATAGAGCTTACATACCTGATCTTTGCAAAAGAAGACAATTTGGCATTTACTGTTCCAATATATATCTGTAAAATAAATTCTACAAGTACAGACATTACAAAAATTTAAGACTCTTAAATCTCAGTATAGCTGTCATGTACAGAGGCAAAATAGAGATACTACATACAACACTACTTGGCCAGTTAGCCCCCTGGTAGGAGGAATCTCCTTATCCTTCTTTTCAATTAGAACACTAGGCCTTCTCTGCTTACTGTTCCATGCTCTTCCCACCTGAAAGGACAGCTCTCTGGGCATAGGTTGCTGCAAAAATATTTTTTTTTCCAAATACCGAAGAGTGTTTATCTCTTTCATTTGGGAAGACACGTTTGTGGTTGCGCAGAGTCCCAAAGTTACTACAAGCTTATCTAAACCAGTTATGTAATTCTCCATTCCTTCCCTGCACAGGGGAAGAAGGGCATGTTGAACAGACAGCTGCCTTAAGACAATAAGAAAGACTCATAAGGTCATAGTCAGGCTGCAGCCCTGGGATGGAATTGGGTCCAACAGCTTCCCCCTCCCCCACACTGTGGTACGTGCTCTGGACCGGGGTACTGTTCTGTAGGACCAGTCCTGATGGACAGGCGAGCTCTGCACCTGCCCCCACCTGTATGTGCTGTCTCAGGAGTGACCCCTTATGCCTAGGACGCAGGGGACATGGGGAAATCACTGAGCGCTCAAAAATAAAGAAGGAAAGAAAAAGGAAACATACCCCCCCGGGTTTTCTCTCTGCAATAGGAGTTACCAAGGAACGAAGCAAGATGCATTCGGTCAAAATTCCATCTGGCATGCTTTCTGGCCAGTTTTGTCATACTGTAGATTACCCGGATCTCTTCTATCCCTCACCCCCTACCCATACACATGCACCCATCCATCTCTCCGAAAATGTCCCTGCCCGAGATGACAAGACTGGCAAACAGCAAGCATCCACATCAACCAGGAACAATCAAGCAGCCGAAGTCATTTCTCTCTCTCGTTAGCTCGACGCCTGTCTTTAAAACATGCACCTCTCTCCATTCTACCTGGGGGTCCGCGGGACACCATGACAAACCACGTCTTCCTGCAGTCCACCCCGAGAGTCCCAATCCAGCAAGATCCAAAAGCAGCTAAAGAGTTCGATGATAAAAACTCCTAAATAGGAGCAAAGAGCTTGGTGTCTGCCGGGCGCAGTGACAGACTGGAAGAGCCCCAGGCGGGGAGCTCCGTGTTCGAGTCCAGCCTAGATAAGTGGGGAGGGGCGCCCTCCCTGGGGTCCCCGCCCCGGGCCAGCCTGCACCGCCACCTCCAGGGACAGCGACTGAGGACCCTGAACCAGAGGCGAGGGCAGAGGGCTCGCCCGTGCCACCCACCGTTCCCAGCTCGTCCCAGCGGGTGACTCCAGGAAAACTCCCGCCGAGGACGGCTCCAGAAAAACGTGAAAGGTGCGGGAGGTGCGGGGAAGACCTAGGGGAGCACCTACCTTCCCGTTCTCCCGGGCCTTTGAAGAGAGCTTTGGGAGGAGGAAAGTTGGATCGCGCTCCAGAAGCCGGCGGCAGAGAGGCTCCAGGACGCGCGAACTCGGGCCAGGCTCCTCTCGCGGAGCCCGCTCTTCCCCCCGCGCAGCTGCCGAACATCTGGAGCAGCGGCGCCCGCCCGCTCCCGGCGAGTTGCAGGGCTGACTGCACGCCCCAACTCAGTTTCGGGCATTCGCAGCCTCTGCCCTCCTTTCTTAGCCCTCTCTCCACCAACGAGGGCTTTCTCAAAAGTCCCTTTAAAAAGCGTGAACTTGAAACTTACCGTCTTTTGAATTCGTCTTTTTCGCCCGTTTGTTAGAGCAGGAAAGGTGCCCTGCGAGGGAGCAGGGACAGCAGCAAAGATCCGCTGCTATTTCTCCTGCTCAAACCCTAGAGATTGCTGAAGATAGGAAGAGACGCCCCTTAAAGCCGAACTCCACCTCATCGTGGGATCACATGACGGCGCCCCGAGGAGCACCCGGGCTCCCACACCCCCAGCGCCTCCCCTTGGAGATTCACCTCGAGGGCGCGTTGCCTAGGAATTCTGGAAAGAAAAGCAATTGAACGCGAAGCATGCATTGTTAGACACAGACGCACAGCGCAGAGCAAAGTGAGCCTTCATCCCTACAGAGTCCTTGACTCCGGGAAGGCGGCGCGATTTTACATGGCTTTTAAAAAGTCAGTGCCACTGTGATTTCTCCTTTGTTTGCAGGTCAGTGCCATCTGGTGGCCGAAGTCCTGAAACCTCCGTTCTAAACCTAACTCCAGAATGAAAAGTGTTTATGAAATTCGCAATGCACTGTAGCGACGCCACTAGTTTTTTGCTTTCTGTGGTGACGCGTAACTATTTCTCACGCCACTACCGAGAAGTTTTTTTTTTTTTTTTTTTTTTTTTGTCTATAAGTGAACAAAAAGACCTTTACCAAGCCACAATTGCAAATCTCGGTTGAGGGGGCCTGGCCTTCCTGTCTTCCTTTGTATCCACTGCGAAAATGCATTGAGTCATTTGTTCCCTGTGTCTAGCTGCTGTTTGTAGTTTGGGGGGACGAAAAGGATGAAGTGAGCATTTCCCTGACGGTCCAAAAGAGTCTATGCAATTTCCTTCGTGCTTAACCTACTACAGTACAGAGCATTATAAAAAACAGAATTCACAGGAAAGGAGATCGGTGGTAAGAACCCGTCATGGTGCTCTGTGATTCAAGCTAATTATGGACACATTGATCTCAGTGCTACATGTTTCTATTCTAGTTTGAAAACTCAAAATTGGGCAATAAACACACCCCCAGTGATTTACTGATGTTGATGACTGGGACTTCTTCCAAATCAAACTGTCACCAAAAAAAGCCTTCCTAACAGAGACATGGGCGGTAAGATATGCACAACAAAACAACCCTGATCACCTCGTGTCTTCAAAGTAAAAACAAAATAAAATTCTGAAACATGGAGTCCCTTGAACTTTACACTGTTGAAAAAACTATCTTCTACTTCTGCTTGTTAGCATGAATAATCATTATTTAAATATATTTATTTATATATTTATATATTATATTTCAGTATAAGATTATTTATATAAGTGGTGATGTACACAACCTCCTTTTCTCCTCAGAAAAGTTTTTGAAAATATTTGTTTTTAGACATTTCACGTAGTTGAGAAAGGATTATGATCAAGAATAGCATGAGCATACTACAAATATCCTATAGGTAAATAATAATAGATAGGAATATGCATTTTAAAACTCCAGAGTGTATTATGTTTCTACTAATTCTGTCTACCCCATGCTCCTGGAACAAAGTTAGGAGTTGATTATCAAATCAGTTAGTTTTAGCCTCCTGCAAGAATTACAAGTGGAATAATTTAATTCTCTACTAAGAACATATTTTTAAGTAAAATCTTAGAGTATATCAGCAAATACTGTGGATTTGAGACTATGATTTGTGCTCAGATACTTTACATTCTGTATTTTCCAGGAATGTTAATAAATACGCATCTGCAATAAGGCCTTCACTAATATGACCACTGCATTTTGCTGTTTTATTAAATCAGTTTTTATGACATGTCCCCCTGAACGTGAACTGTAAAGCAACATATTTGATATATTAATACCAAATACAAAGATCATTGGTCTCAAATGAAAAATCATTGGTCTCAAAGACTTTTTTCCCTGTCAAAATTTTTATACAAAGAGAAGTTTTGACATGCTCATCTATAGCAAAAGTATATATTTCCTACCTAATATCATTTACTACTGACTCTTTCCAGGGTATAAAGTAGAAAAATTAGGGATGATGTGGTGACCAAATTCAACATAATTATTGCCATCTTATGGGAGGTTTAAAGTAAGCAAAGTAATCAGAAAGCCTCAGAAGATATATGCTAAATTTTGAAATAATTTCTTTTTCTACTCTTGAGTTAGATATGTTTGTATTTGGGATTCAGACTGGATAAAATCTCACCTTTGCTAGGGACAGAGAACTTTTTGGAATTATGTGTACTTTTTACTGAAATTTCATAACACCCTGACATATAAATTATGACTGAGATAATGAAATGGATACCCTACCTCATGTTTTCTTGCACAACAGTCTTGCTTGGTCGTTTAAACGGAAGAGTGGGATTGGCTTATTCAATCTAAGCCAATCTTAGTTTTATTATCTAAAAAAATGGAACATCTTTACAGTCAGGCTCAGCCTTTAAATTTTATGATTCAGTAATCGTTTAGGTAAAAGTGTGTCATTACATTTGCCACTGGAACTTAAAAGGTGTAGTTGCTTTGTTGGTCTCCTAATGAATTTCTGCCTTAAAAGGGCTAACGTTCATGAAATGCTACTCATCCCTGATTTGGGTAAATTATCATAGAGAAGAATCTTGAGAGACATTAAAACTCCCTACAAAAAGTGAAATGTAGATGACACCGACAAGGAAGATGTCCGCTGGGGCAGAACTGACCGTGAAGCTCGCTGGTGAAGCAGTTCCCATCGTATGAATCATATGCCAAGTTTTGGGTTTGTGTGTGTGTGTGTGTGTGAGACTTATCTTCTGGATTTACAGCGTTGATAGATATAAGTACAATGTCATTTTATGAAATAAGACTGCTTTATGAGCGCATAAAAAAAATGCGTAGTGGTTTTGAGGCCTGCTTTGCAAGTGCAAGGTCCCGAGTTCAATCCCTGGTACTAAAAAAAAAAAATGCTTTCAGTAAATCAGTGGCATACCATCAGCTATAAATGATCTCAAACTCTGAGTATTAAAATTTATTTTTTTAAAAAAGAGCTAATGGAATATATATAGTAAATAGCTTTGACTAAATTTGGTCAGAAATGGTTAATAGGTAAATCTTGGAAGCAGCCTATATATCCATAACAGAAAAACTGATAAAGAAAATGTGGTATATATACATAACAGAGTGCTACTCCACCATAAGTGCAAATAAATTAGAATCATTTGTAAGAAAATGGATGCATTTTGAGAACATAATGTTAAGTGAAATAAACCAGATGCACAGCTTAAATATTGCATGGTCTCTCTTGTACGAGAATCCCAAATAATTAATAAGGAGCAAAATAAAGGACAGATAAGGGTGAGTAGGGAGATTTTTCTCAAATGGAAAGGGGATGAGGAGATGGAAGGAGAGGGGAAAGAAAGGAGGAAAAGGAACGAGCAAAGGAATCAGGATGAGTAAAAGAAGAAGCAGTCGATAGAGTCATTTTATTCACTTGTTTTTTTAAAATTAATCATCGGAAAGAAATGACAATTAATTTAGTGAAAATGTAATTATACAAGTCCATAGACAAGCTATTAAATTGTCTTTCATGTGTAAAAGTTATTCCTCTTTGTAGGTTTGCTCTTGATTTGAAATGAGAATGCACTTCAGTAAAGTTTTTATTTGGTTACTCAGATTACGTATTTAGGGCATTTTTTCAACTCTATCAGAAAAATTCTGACAAGGGAAAAAATGAGAACCAAGACCTGTCATGTAAAGGTACAAGATCCCAATGATGAATGTAACTGTACTGTATCCCTAAAATGTACCAACAAACTCAATGAGGAAAAAGAAAAAAGAAAAATACTGTAGAAAGGTAAGACCTTAAAGTTACTTAGTAAATATTCAAGCTTTGTTTGCAAGATGTATATTGTCAGGCAACCTTCAGACATTCAACAAAAGCGTAATGTTATCTCACAAAATTGTAATATTATATATTACATGGTGTCATGAAAAGGTTTGGCATTGTTACTATCCTTGTTTTAATAATAATTATTATTATTGCCTCCATCTTTCTAGTCAGAGAGATAGGGCAAGAATGGCTGGTGAAGGGGGTAAAGGGAGGGCAGGGGTAAGGGGAAAAAATGAGAACTAAGACCTGTCATGTAAAGGTACAAGATCCGATTGATGAATGTAACTGTACTATATACACAAAATGTACTAATAAACTCAATGAGGAAAAAAAAAAGAATGGCTGATGAGAAGGGGAATTATGAATGCCACCACCAGGAACTTCTGTCACCCATGAGAAGCATCCCTTCCTAATTGTTCATCTTCCCCCAACCCTTCCCTGAGGTCTCTGATTTGTTATTAAACTCCTTCATAACATAACACTTGAAATAGCGAATCCCGGTACAACAGACTTGGCCTAAGCTGTAAAACTACAGCACACTTTTTCCAAAAGAAAAAAAAAAGAGATTCCTTATATACACCTAAGTAACATTAAAAAAAATGAACAGATACTGGTGGTGAAGTATCCCTGCTTATCATTTTGCTAAGGTAAGTATCCTGTCCTCATTCTTTTGAGACCTAGCCATTGCTTTTTTTTCCCCAGATGCATATAAATCTAGAAAATATCAAAAACTGCCCAAAGTATAGTCTGATTCCTCTGAATTCAGGACATCACTTAGCTACCTCTCACCTTGCACAGTACGTTGGTGTAAACAACACAAGTGCAGGGCTCGGGATTTAGCTCAGTGGTTCTGGTGCCTGCCTCTCAAGCACAAGGACCAGGGTTCAATCCCCAGTACCAAGAAACAGAACAAAACAGTACAACTGCATAGACAAGACATTTAAAACCCTACTTGAGCTTTAAATACTATCCACAAATTCCCAGTGTTCAGTGACTACCAATCTTCTCCTCTTCCAGATTATTTTAAAATATCCCAGCTCTCCCCCAGCCCCCTACTTCATACCCTCCATTTCCTGAGTTCTCTTTTTTCAGATGAGCAAAGGCCAGCAAGGATTTCTTCCCTAACTCTCATACACATACTTTTGGCAGTGGATCTTCTAAACAGACTCTGAGTCAACCTAGTCTGCTGAGATCTCCCAGCAGTGTCCCAAGTACCATGGGACATGGTGAAGCCATCTCCCCTGTGCTCTCCAGAGTTGTTGACCCACACAGTTCATCAAATGCTGAGCCTAAGAACTCTGAGTTGTATTCCACTAAGTCTTGTTGAGGTTTGTTAGACAATGATAAAGTAACTATAAGCATCTGTTTATGTACTGACTTTTATTTATTTGTTGTTTGGCTCAGTATTAAAATAAAAACTAACACTAAATTGCTCATCTCTGTCTCATAGTGACTCCCTCACCACGTCAGATCTTCTCTAGCTGCCTTCTCTTTCCCTGCTAACCACTCCAAAGATAAGCTATATTTACTATCTGCTCACTTTCTCCTCAAATATGGCCCACTTGAAACTGACTCTGCCCAGGACACCTGAGAACAAAGCCAGTGGATGCAAGTCACAGTTTATTATGTTTATTCTTTATGTGTTGGTGGACCCTTTTCACTATCTTCTCTTCCTGGAATCTTATTTTCCTTCGATGTCACTAACTCCATACTTCAAAGTTTTCCTCATTGGATATTCCCCAGTCTTCCTTTGAAGGGCCTACTATCTCCATCTAGTTCTGAGGTGTTTTTCTCTCAGGATCCTATTATCTAAGCGGGTTAAAGCTAGGCTGTGTGTATTGCCTCGCACCGATACCCAAATTGTTTACTTCCTCCATATCAGGCGAGGGTTTATAGCTCAATACCTGCCCACACCAACTCAAATTTGCACATCAAATTGCTTTAAAATAATCAAACATCATTTTAGTCATTTCGAACCTGTCTACTTTACATGTCCTGCAAAACTCCACTGAACATCTGTTAATCATAGATAAAACAACTCCTGCAGCTATAAAAGGCACCAAGTCACTGCTGTCTCTTAGAGTTCTCTGACCCTCAGACTCCTAGATGCTGCTAAGTGATGTCACCTAGATGTGCAAAGTCCTCTCTCATTTTCTCTTCTCTCTCAAGAGTTCCCTTGTCTTATCCTCTTCTGAGTGGTAAGGTGGCTCTGCTCTCCCAGGAAGTTCTTTGCTAGGGGACACTGCCTTCATTGTGTAACCTTTCCAGAACCACCCAGATAAAAATTGTGCCTTTCATGATCCTGTTTCTCCTATAATCAACCCT